TGATGTAGGCTGGCCTCAGCTTGGGATTGGCTGATGTAGGCTGGGCTCGGCTGTGGAGCTCGGCTGCATTTGTTCTGACAGTTTTGTGTCGGCGGGAGGTGGGTTGATCTGGGCCGGCTCTGCTCCGCTTGTGCTTCAGCTGTGGCGCTTGTCTCGTGGCCGTGAAGAAGGAACAGGGGCCCTTTGAAGGCTCAGAACGGGCACAGCGTCACTTTGCCTCATCCTCTGACTCACTGCCTGGTCCTCACTCGCAGCCACAACAGCTCACGTCAGGGGTCTTCGTCCCACCTTGCGTCTCAGGTCCCCCGAGTCTCCTGTAACCGGGGTGCTGGAAAGTGGACCCTTGTGGTCTGCGTCCTGCAGGGGCTCCGCTACATCACACACCTTCCAGCTAAACGAGAAGTGGCCCCAGCCCAGGGGTCAGCATCCCCAGTGGACCAAGGGCGGATGACGGCCTGGGAGCTCCCGGAGAGGAGCGGGGCGGCCCCCTCTGGGGGTGGGTGTCCCTGAAGCACTGGCTCTGCGACTGCAGTGTGCTGTCCTCTTGTCTCTGTCCTCTGAGACGCTTCCCTTTCACATGTTCACTTGCTCCGGTCACATCTGAAGGAGGCGTCGGGACACGCGCCATGTGTGCAAGGCGCTCAGCCCGTCTCCTGACTGGAGAAGTCGCCCCGCGGCAGCCGTACCCCCATCTCAGCCACGCGGGGCTTCTGACACTTGGAGGGTTTTCTGTACATTTGATTCCAATGTACTCCAGGTGCCCAGGGCCACCCCAGGGTCCTTTAGGAAACGTGCCTCTTTCTCCAGGTTTGAGGACTAGAATTTGGGGGCTCTCAGCCTCGAGGACCTCCCTGGCAACTTAATTCTTCCAGAGGTCCAACAAAAACATCGCACCCCAGGCTTGATTTGGTCTGTACCCTGAGGACGTGTCTCGCTGCGGCGCCGGGATTGAGTTTTGTTGCCTGTCTGCATTTTAACAGCCGTGTCCTAGATTTGACCCCCCGCCAGCCTCAACCCTCCCATGGGGTTTACTCTGAGATGAGAGTCCCTCAGATCCTGGAGGACCCCTGCCCACCCTTCCCATGCGGAGCCCATCCCTCTGGGCCTCCCCACAAGGGCACAGGTGTGCACACACACACACACACACTCACACACACACTCACACACTGACTGCCCTGCTGGGGGTCAGAGGGGAGTGCATATGGGGGAGGTGAGAGGGTTGAGAAGGAGGTTGGGGGCAGCTCTGCCATGGGGCAGGCATATTGACCCCCTAGCAACATGCCTGGTCCCATAGCACGGGGAGGGGAGAGATGCCAGGCTGATGGCAGGGGGTCCCCAGGGTCCGGGGCCCTGTGTCCACCACTCTGGGCACCGGGCACTAGGATGAGACCTACCCCTACTGTGGCGGGGCTACAGGAGAGGAGGCCTCAGCCTACTTCTCTGTAAAGTGGGTGCACAGACGGGGTGATCCCTAGGGTCCATAAGCTTGCAGAGGAGTCTGCGGGCCTTGGTTCTCCATCCCTGACCCACTCTGCTCTGAGTCCTTGGAAAATGCTTTCTACCCCCCGAGGCCCTTCTGAGCAGGGGACAGACTTGAGGGACAGGGGACCTGGGGTGCAGAAGGTGGCAGAGACTGGACCACTCGTCGGGGACCAGGGACAAGACCCTCCTTATTGGCGCCTGGGGGTCCGCATTTGGAAGTGGGTGGAGTCACTGCCCTGGTTGGGATGAGGAGGCCTCCGGAGTGAACTGGACACCAGGACAGTAGAGGGAAGGAGGGGAACAAGAGAGGCTCTGAGGTCCCTCTCATCCCCCAGGAGCCGGCAGGTCCTGCTCGTTTGCCCCCTCGGCCCTGGTGGAACCACTGCCTTGAGGACCCCCAACAAGTTCTGTGGTTAGTTTTCTGGTCTCCTGCCTGGGGCTGCAGTTCCAGGGATGACCACCAGGGGGCAGGCTGTGCGCACTCTACCGGATGGAGAAACTGGAGCAGGGAAGGGACACCCGGGGTCATTCTGGGCGTCCCCCTGCCGCGGACCCAACAGGCACCTTTTATTGTTAGCCTCCAGGCCCACAGTGGGAGCTGCTCAGAGGCGGGAGGGGGCTCTGAGACCCTCTATAGATCATTCAGCTACCGTCCCCCCTGCACTCACCCTGAGCAGGGGCCCTGTTAGCCCTGGGGGCGGTGCTGACATGACAGATGGTCCCTGCCCTGCAGGAGCTCACAGCCTGGAGGGGCAGATGGACAAGAGCAGGAAAGCAAATCCACGTGGGAGAGAAGAGCAAGTGCTCTAGGGAATGAGTCAGGGCCCTGGAAGGAGGGCCAGGAGCCCCCGGGGGTCTAAAAGGCTCCTTGGTGACATTGATGCCAGGACCAGAAAAACAAGAGCAGCCAGCCCTGCACACTCCGTGACAGTGAGCTGGGGGGGGGGGGGGGGGGGGGAGCCAAAAGATGCAGAGACTCGGAGGCAGAAGAGACTCTGGCCGGAAAGCAGGCGACAGGAGCCAGTGTGGCTGGAGAGAGCTGGGAGGAGAGGAGGTGGGGGGATGGGGGAGGCAGGGCCAGACCCGGGGCCGGAAGGACGTCCCAGTGTCTGTGCCATGCGACAGCATCCCCTAACGTAGCGCTTACAAGGACAAACACTGACCCTCTCGGTGTCTGTGACCAGGAGGCAGGCTCAGCTCAGCTGGGAGCCTCTGCCCCGAGGCCCCCCAGGAGGCTGGGCTGTGGTCTCAGCTGAGGCTCAGTCAGGGTGGGGTCTGTCTCTGAGATCATTCTCGGGTTATTGGCGGGATTCAGTTTGGACGGGGGCTCGGGTCTTTCCTGTCTGTGGGCCGGGACCCAGTGTCGGTTCTTTGCACTGGAGCCTCTTAGGGCAGCTCGTTAATACCTGATCTTGCTTCACTAGAACATTGGGCCAGAGACAGAGAGACAGAGACAGGGAGAGAGAATGAACACAGGAGGGAGGGAACCAGGCAGAAAGTCACAGACTTTTCATAAACCAGTCTTGGAAACAACTGCCCATCCCTTTTGCCCAATTCTATTCATTTGAACCCAGTCCCAAAGCCCATCCACTCTCAGGGGAGGGATGACACAGGCATGTGTGGCAGAGGCAGGGACGCTGGGAGCCGTCGTGGGGCGGCCCACCCACAGGCCGAGGTGAGACAGGACAGGAGGACCTGGAGGGTTGTATGTTATCTAGCACTCATCTATGGAATAAAGTACATTATTTCATTTTTATCTTTTAAAGGTTTTTACTCCAAGGACAATAAATGTAAAATAATGAATTCTAAAGGATTTAAGAATTAACTAAAGAACAAAGTCCTCCCACTCTAGCAGGTGGTGCCCCATTTCCCGCCCTCCCCCTCTGTGTATGCCTGTGCCTTTGCGGGAATCAGGCAGGGAGGATTCTGGGGCATGTGCTCTTCCAGAGCCCGGTTTCCCCTGGCGGACACTGCTCAGTCCATCCTCCTCCTCTTTTGCATTTCCTGGGGCCCCGAATCACAGCTTCCGAAGAGCCCCTACTGTGCATGTTGGGTCCATTTCCTATTTTCCCCCCCGCATCACTGTGCTGAAGGGAACGTCCGCGTCCACACATCTTTGTTTATAACAGATCCCTGGAAGTGGAGAGTCCCGGTCGAATGCAAACATGATTTTAACGTTGGTCACAGTTTCCAACGTCTGAGATCTCCTTGACCACTCTGAGCCTTGTTTGGGAAAGCAGGGGTTCACACTCTGGGGCTGAGACCCCTGGGAGGGCGGCAGAGGCGGGGCTGTGTGGGGGGAGGGCGTAAGCGTATGAGACAAGGTTTGTGCTGGACACACAGGGCGCAGTCCCCAGAGGCTGAGGTTAGGCCGGGAGCAAAGATGGTCGCCCCCTACGTCCCCAGCTTCCAGAGCTCCAGCTCCGACCAGTGACCCTGCCTGGGCCTGGGGAGGACTGTGGGTGTTGAGCTGCAGTGCGGCAGGGCCGGAAGCCCCTCCCCCTGCCCCCAGGAGCTGTTCAAGAAAGCGGTGCCCTACCACTGCCTGGGCTCCATCTGGTCCCAGAGGGACAAGAAGGGCAGGGAGCACCTGGCTTTCACCGTTGTGCCACTGTCACTCACTTCAACAGTGTGACCAACTGCGTCATCACCACCTGCCTCGGGGACCGGAGCGTGACGGCCCGCGCCAGGGCCGGGGCAGTGGAGCAGTCGATCCGGGGGTGGCCGAGGGATGCTGTGAGAGGGGCGGGGAAGTCCCTCTCCAGTGTTGGAGACTTCTTGTTCTTGGAGAATTGGGTCTCTGGCTTGCCAGCTGCTCCCTCTGGCTGGGACTTAGCTTCCTCCAGGCTGTTGGGTGGGTGGGAAGGGACGGGTCCTTCCTTCCCCAAACCAGCTCAGCCTGTGCCTGCAAAACCGCGCCCCATTGCTCCTTCTGTCTGCACTGTACTTCAAGGGGAGGGCACCCCACCTGCCCAGGGACAGGGTGCTGCTGGGAATGCTCTTGGCTAAGGGGCCAGAGGGGCTGCCCAGAGGGGCAGGTCTGGGCCTCCCCACTCTGCCCCGAGGACAGGTGCTGCTAACCACAGAGAATCCTGTAGGATTGTTGCCTTACACTGGGGAGCAGCCCAAGTCAGCAATAACTTGTTAGCGTGCGAGAAATCTCAGAGGACTAATGAATTCACGGCGGGTCCTTCCTGACCCCACTTCAGAGGTCTCTCTGTCAAAGGGGGCAAAGTGTCGCTCCCCGGCGCCCCCTGGCAGCCCCTACCCCGTGTCAGAGGTGGGACCCAGGAGACCCCTCCTGAGAGAGCGAAGGCAGAGCTCCCTACGCTGTAGGAGACGCGAAGCTTTAGCAGGGCCTCAGACCCAGCCTGAGGTGCAGGGGCTCCAGGGGAGGGAGAGCGGCAGGGAGAGCAGCTCAGCCGAGGCTCCCCAGAAAGCGGGAGGCCCTTCTGCAGGGAACAAAGAGGTTGCCCCAGCTGCAGGGACGCTCGTGGGGTCGCGGTAGTAACTACGGGAGACGTGATCAAGCGCCTCTGTGCCTGGCTCTGTTCTAAGCGCTTCGCAGAAGCTGCCTCGTGCTGTCCCGCCGGCCACCGGTCCGGGCCGTACTTGCGGGCGGGAAGGCGGGACTTCCTGACAGCTGGGAGGCGCTGGCTCGGGAAGGGCCCGTGGACGCGACAGGTGAGCGCAGGAGGCCCGGCCGGGGAGCTCGGCCGAGGTACGGAGGCGCCACGTGCGCGGTGCAGCCTGGAGGGTCCGCTAGAGGGCGCTGCGACTGCGGCGAACTCGGGGTGGGCGCGGGTTGGGCCTCGCGGGCCGCCGTCCGCGCTATAAAAGGCGCGGCGCGCGGTCGCGCGGCCTTTCCGGGATACGGGGATGGTGGGGTTCCGGACCCGCGCCCGGGTCCCCGCCCGCCCCAGCGCCTGCCGCCGGCCGAAGCCCGACCCCCGCGTCTCCATCGTGGGTCGCGATGGTCGAATGTGCGCCCGGGTCCGCGGGATAGGCGGGCGCAGAGGTCCCTTGTGTTGGCGGGGGTGGGTGCGGCGAGGTTCCGGCGCCTCCGCGTAGCATCGTGGGGCCGGGGCTGGGGGCGCCGCGGATTGCTATGCTTTCCGCACCTTCCCGGCTCTGAAGCCTCGAGAACACGGCTATAGGCAGCAGTAGTTTAGTGGGTGAGTCGGGACATTTCATTCGGAAATTGCCCCCTCCCGCCTTCAGCGCCACTGCTTTCCCTGCTTGCGACCTTGAGGGAGTCACGTTATACTCCTGGCCATCTGTTGTTTTGTCTTTAAACGGACTGGGTGTCACTGCTTACTGAGCGCTAAGAGTGAGGCGATTTCCGAATTATAGTGTGTGTGTGCAGCACAGTGGGTGTGAATGCGGTGGCCTCCTTGTGGAAGGGGTGGCTGCATTCATAGCCTGGTCCCTCGATCACCTGCGGTCTGCACTACTGTACTGTAACCTCCAATTTCCACACACCCCCAAATTAAACAGGGAGTAAAACACGGAGGGTACCTGGGTTTGGTGTGCAGACACGTGTAGGCCTGGAGATCAAATGCAGCAAAATAAAGCCTGGGTGAAGGGCCTTTTTGTGGACTTGTAAGGTTGTTATAAAGCGTGGGTTTTTTTTTTTCTCTAGGGAGTTTGTCTGCTGGGAACTAGGGGCCTGCTGGGGTCTCAGGTGAGTTGACACGTGTGCTGGGACAGGTTTGCGCTGAAGAATAATTTTTGGGCTAGTTGAATGCTTTTTTTGTTACATTCTAAGCACGGGGCCAGGGCATCCCTGTGGTCAGGGAATAAAAACTTGAGTTATTTAATCTTCTGTAGGCGCTGCCCCTAGAGGCGTTGCAGGTGTGGCTGCTGTGCCACATCTGTGTCGTTAGGTGGCGGAGAGAAGAGAGGCCTGACTGTGCCCAGCGTCCTGGCCCGTGGACGTGTGGATGATTGATAGTCTGACACTTGACTGTGCTGACTGGGGGTGTGTCTACTGGCAGCCTGAAGCCTGTCGTGTAAAAGCACTTTCATTTCCTCCTAGTTCTTGGCTGGCCCTGGAACACGAGGTTGCCAGGTGTGTGACGGCAGCAGGTAGGAGTGACCCGCTGGTGCAGTGATGAGCGGGAAAGGTGAGTGGGTTTCGGTAAGGCTGACTTGCTGAAGATTTGTCACATTGGATTAAAAAAGGGTGGCACTAAAATTTTCCTTTCTAGCGTGAGCTCGATAACACCACCTAACGATCTGGAATAATATGACTTATTTAGGTGGATCCACGGGTAGTTACTCTCTCTTAAAAGAAATTTTATAGTGGGTTGTGCAGCCAGAAACTCTAGAAATAAAGTTGCCAGGTTTAAACGTTACAGAGACAATTCCGAAGGCCGGCTGTGCTGCCTTACGTGAGGTTTTTCTGAATTCTAGAGGACTGTTTCCTGTGTTGCTTTGTATAGTGTACTTTGATCCGTTGATCTATCTAGGACCTCACTAGTGGCTCCCTGGGAGAGGGTGCAGAGATTTCTGACGAGGGTCCTCCTGGCTGCACTACGGTCCCCTGGGTTCATCAAACACCAGCCTATTGCCAGGTGCCAGCATAGGCAGCCCTTTTCAATTTTTGCCTCGGGCTGCCCATTGCGGGTCTGAAAGGTGATGGTGGAAAGGTGAAGGGTTCATGTGTTAGTAGCAGCTATCACTACTTTTTTGTATGTGAATTTGTTTATTTTATTTATTTTTGGCTGCGTTGGGTCTTCGTCGCTGCACGTGGGCTTTCTCTAGGTGCGGCGAGCGGGGGCTCCTCTTCACTGGAGCCACGGCCTCTAAGCGCTCGGGCTTCAATAGTTGTGGCTCGTGGGCTCTAGAGCGCAGGCTCAGTAGTTGTGGCTCACGGGCTCAGTTGCTCCGCAGCATGTGGGATCTTCCCGGACCAGGCCTCGAACCCGTGTCCCGTGCATCGGCAGGCGGGTTCTTAACCACTGCACCACCAGGGAAGCCCAGCCTCCACTAGTTTTAAGTACTGGCAGCAGTAATAACGGCAGCCAACTTTTCCTGCGCTGATTCTGGGCCGACCACTTTTGTTGTTCAGCACAGGAAGGACAGCGGCTGTTGGCCTGTGAACCTAGGCAAGGTGACCAGCCGACACGGTCCAGACGGTGCTTTTCTGAGCTCCTGGAGGCCTGCTGGGCGGGCGGGACACTGCCCTGCAGATGCCGGACTTGCTGGCACCACGGGTGCGGCAGCCCTGCTGCACCTGTGACATCGGGGCGGAGAGGAAGCGGCTATTTCTACGCTCAGTGCTCAGAACAGTGGGCGCTAAGAATGGTTTGTAGCCGGACATCACCAGAAGCTGCAGGAGGGAGCACCTTGTTTCCACGTGCGCTTGCAGTGGGAGCTGTGCGCAGGCCCTTGAAGACTTTGATGTTCTTTTCCTTTATAAAATGAAGCTCGTTGTGAGAATTAAATGAGATATGTGTACAGGCATATGGCAAGCTTTGGGGCAATGGGATTGACCAGGAGAGTCTCCTTACTGGAAATGAATGTTCTGTTGGTCTGCCTGGCGAGGAGTTTTTAGGAATCCTTGGGCAGGTTTGACCTGCATCCCTGGCTGAGGGCCGCTGAGGGGGTATCAAGGTCCTGTGGGGCTTCCAGGCCATGTTCAGAGTAGGACCCTAGGTGGGGATGCGGGGGGCCCAGAGCCACCGGTCCACGAGCGCTCGTACTCTGAGGACCTTGAGACGAGTCACTCTGGAAGGAAGGCCAGAGGTTCGCTCCTGGCCTTTGTCCTGTTGGTGAGGCAGAAGTCGGGCCACTTTGTGGAGCCCCTCGACAGGCCGACCGTAACCCTATAAAGAATGATCCTCCAGGCCAGGGGTGTCGTGGTCTCCTTGCAGGTGGAGTGCGTTTTGCTGTTTCCCGAAATGTTTAAGTTGGAGGGTTGGACAGAGGCTGTAGGCTAGCAGCTCTTCGACTAGGGGCGGTTGGTCCCCCCCAGGGCACGCGGCAGCTCGCAGGGCAGGAAAGGGACGGGGTGCTGTTGGCATCTAGCTGGTGGGGTCCAGGGCTGTGGCTGCATGTCCTGTGGTGCCCGGGACGGCCCCACAGTAGAGCTACAGGGTCCCAAATGCTGATGGGGCCAAGGCTGTAGAAGATAATTTGGGAGGGGTTCACGGACTGGATTCCGTTTCTCAGGTCCGTGGGCCCAGCTTGGTCCTCTGCGGCTGGTCAGTGGGACAGACCTGCAGGTGTGGCTCCTGTCACTCTAGGACTGGCTTCAGGACAGGTAAGTTGGGAGCGGGGTGCCTGGCTGGGGGTCTGACAGAACTTTTGGACCCTTTAATACAAGCACATGGTATCAATTGTGGGTGTGCTTTGAGGAGAGGTGAGAATGTCCAAGTAGCTGACAGTGAAGGCCACAGTGGGCAGAACTGGTGGTGAGGCAGGACAGTGGCCTGACCTCAGCCACCTCCCCCGTTAGCGTGTTGGCAGCAGATGGCCAGGCCTGTGGCTCAGGGCGGCCTGGCCGGGTGGCTCTGGCTGCAGCATCTGAAGGCTTGATCGGGCCAGAAAGAAGCATTTCCAAGATGGCATGCCCGAGGCTCCTCACGACGGGATAGCTGGCTTCCTCCAGAGCTGGCGTGCCCCAGTCTCAGCCAGCGCCGGTGCCCTTGGGAGGGACCGTAGGGTGGGCGGGGGCGGCCTGCACAGCACGTGTCTGGTTGGTTCTTCATCCACACTTCGGAAGTGTGCTCTTTATTTTGTTGTGTTTTTGAGAATCTTGAGCTTTCGGCTGCTACTAAGCAGCTACCAGGGTTTTTGCCCACTTCCTCGTGTCGTGTGCTGTGGCTTGTCGACTGGAGTCGGGTTGGGGTGACGGTGTAACTGCCGGAAGCAAGCCGACTTGCAGAGAGGGTGGCAGGTGGCGGTACATCCGGTAGGTCCACCTTTGAGCCCGGCGGCAGCTGGGTTTCCTCTCCCATCCTACTTGGTAGAACCTCCCTGGCTGAATTCCCCTGGAAACTGGGTGGAATGGTCAGAAGGAGAGGGGAGCAGGGCTTGGCGTGTCTGGCAGGAGAGGCTGAAGAGGCTTAAGCAGCTGTGTCCTTGTGTTCCGGAAGCCAGGTGCTCTGCTAAGGAGGCTCGACTGGGGTCCAGCCCACCCAGCGCTGGGAGGCGTGGCGAGTGGGTCATCTCTGTTTTCTGTCTGCAGATCCGGCCGGAAGAGCCCAGGGCACCGCCCTCAGTTCTCCAGGAGAGTGGAGCCAGGAGGGGTGTGCGCGACTCGGCACGGGGGCCGTGCGCGTCCAGTCTGCCGCAAGGGCAGTGGGGAGCCGGGGGAAGTCACGGCCTTGCGAATGTCCTCTGATGGAAAGGAACCTGCGGGCTTAATAAAATAGCTTGTGTGTGGAACGTCGGTGTGCTTTTCCCCCTTGGTGTGGCTCAGCGGTGCCAAGGCAGCAGGCGCGATACAGAACTGTGAGCAGAGACCTGGAATCCCCAGACTCCAGGGAAACAAGGTGACGGCCAGCCTAGTGAAGAGGACGGGACGCGGGGGCGGGGGCGGCAGCCCAGCAGGCGCCCCTCGTCTCGGGGCCCTAATCCTGGCTCCAGCCCGCTGGTCAGGGGAGCTGCACGGTCTCCTGGGTGAGCAGAGCCCACAGTCCTGAGCCGTTCTTCGCTGTGTTGGGTCATCTCCCCCCATCCAAGGGGAGAAATCTAGATGAGGTTTAAGAACTGGTGCTTTAAGAATGTGGATCTCATAGTTAAAACCTCGGAACACGTGTCTTCAGCACGAGCTGTTAAAGGGAACGGAAGGATTCAGCCCCTTTTCCAGGAGGGTGTCTCCTTGTGGGCAGAACCAGAGAATAAATGGGTCTTGAATAAACTGTCTTGACTTGCGTTTCTCTGTCTTATCAGCTGAGGGCCCAGCAGGAGTTGAGGGTGTGGGAGGGTCGGGCTCCTGGGCTCACAGCTTCCTGTTTCAGGGGCAGGAGGGAACAGGGGACCTTGGCTTTCTCCCGGGCAGTGGATGTTACACCTAGTGGCTCGTAGGCATCAGTGGAGCAGCCTTCATGGGCTGGGCCGCACTGTTCTGTGCAGGAAGCAGTACAGGGAGAAGTTGGTGTAGAAGGTCCTTACCGGAGAAAAATTCTGTCGGCCTACCCTCCCATCCCCATTGGAACCACACCGGATCCGGGCTGGGGGCTCAGCTGGCAGCGCCCTTGCCCTTGGCTCCAGTCATAACCCCAGCCAACCAACAGCCAGGATGTGGCTGCCCTCCAGCAGACCGTCCAGGCTGGGGTCTGGAGTGGGCTGAGGGGACTCGGGTGCTCACGGAAAATCCATTTATTTACACGCATGTTCTCCAAAGTAACAAAACCTTGGTCTCGGCAGGTCCCTTGGCCAGCCCTCGGGGCTCGGGCTCTAGGTCCTTCCCTCTCCTCCCAGCCTCACCCGTTCCAGCTGCACAGTCGCGTCTGGGAGCCTAGAAAACCCTGGGGGTGGTGGGTGTCCTGCCCCACGGCTGCCTGAGCTCTGGAGACCCATAGGGTCGACACTGGAGCAGCCCCGTCCTTCGGTGGGGGAAGGGGGGAGAGGGCCAAGGGCAGGAGTGGTTCTCGGGGCAGGGCGGGAGCGCCCGGCTGGCCGTCAGGTGTACTTGGTGTTGGAGATCTCCTTCCAGAGCAGGGTCTTGAGGTGGCTGAGCACCAGCGAATGGTGCGCCTCCACCTGGCTGGCCAGCCCGCTCAGCGTGGTGCATGTGCGCAGCTGCTTGCCCAGCGCGGCGCGCAGGCCGGCGGGGGCGCCGGGCAGCAGGTAGTCCTGCAGCAGCTCGCACACCTTGGCCAGGTTGGGCTGCACCAGGTCGCCCTTGCACTGCCGCAGGAGCGTGTCGCAGGGCGCCCTGCAGTCGCGCCCGTAGGTGCAGTCCGAGCTGTGCTCGCAGTGGCGGCCCCGCAGGAAGCGGCGCACGGTGGCCTCGGGTGCCACCTGCTGCAGGTCAGCCATCCTGAAGTCGTACTTGGCTGTGTAGCCCACGTTGGCTAGCGTGGTCTCGCACATGTAGAAGGTTCCATAGGCGCCGTGGAACAGCTCCTCCACGAACTCCAGCAGGCCGATGGCAATCTTGGCGCGCCAGGGCCACGCGGGCCCCAGCCACTGCTGCAGGGCGCCGTGCAGGGCGGGTGGCAGCAGCGGGCGCAGCAGGGGCGGGAGCACGGCCCCGGGCCAGGAGCTGTGCGGGACCCCCTCGGTGAGGTACAGGTCCCCGCAGTAGCCCAGCAGCCGGGAGGCGTGCTCCTTCTCCTGCAGGGACAGCAGCAGCAAGAACTCGTTCCGCTGCAGCAGGGCCCACACTGACTTGGCCTCGGCCAGGGACACCCTGTGGTCCTTGTTGAAGTCGGCCATGAGCAGGACCTGTCCGGCCAGCGCGGGCAGAGAGGGCAGGTCTCCCAGGTTTGCCTGCGGTTTGGGGGCAGGAGAGAGGAGGGCAGGGCGTCGGCCAGCAGTCTGCGCTCCGGACCCCGCATGTCCGCCAGGCAGGGGGAGCCCCGCCTCCAGCCGACAGGATGGAGGAGACAGCCAGGGACCTGCAAGGCCCCCTCGCCACTCCTGGAAGCCCAGCTGCGGAGCCTGGGGCCCCCTCACTGCTCATCTGCCCCTCCCGCTCTCCCCGAAGATGCCCCTGGGGCGGGGCCTCAAGCCTCTGGCTGCTCCCTGAGGGAGGGTCTCCTTGGAGCTGGGGGCGTAGCCAGGCACCTGGCTGGCCCGCGTGGCCTCCACCCAGCCTGCCTCCTGCCCTGTCACACGTCCCTGGGCATGAACTTGACTGGCCCCCAGGAGGGCCAACTGACCTTGAGAAAGCTGAGGGTCATCTCCTGAAACTCCTTAATCGAGGTGCCGCGGGTGGGCTTGTCAAAGAGGACCAGCTCCCGCCGGGGGGCCGCGTCTGCCCCCGCCTTCGAGTCCAGGCCCTCCTCGATGCCACACTTGATGGTCACCTCCTTGCCCTGCCAGAGCCCGCTGTACACCTGCACAGGACCACAGGGACCCTCCGTGCAGATGTCCCCCTCTGGCTGCACCGAGGGCGTCGGAGCCCTGGGGCTGACCCTGGCCCCAGCCTGCTGGGCTTACCTGCTGGCCCGGGACAGAGGAGAGGCAGGTCCTCCACTCCACCTGGTGCAGATGGCACAGGTCCTGGCAGATGGAGCCTGAGATGATGCCCTTGCGGTACTGGTCACACTGCGGAGAGGAAGAGGCAGGGAGTGGCCTGGGGAGGCGGGGGCTTGTGCTGCCCGCCCTCCGGCCCCTTCTTTAGCCAGATGCACAGGGAGAAGCTTTCTGCAGTGATTAGGTCGGGCTCTGGAGTAGCTGCCGCCCCCACTGGCCCCTTCTCGGCTCTAGATGAGGCCTTGCAGCCCCCTGAGTCCTGGGGGTCTGGGCTGACCTGAGCAGGTGAGGCCGGAGGGGATGGAGTCAGGCCCGTCCCTGCGGGGGGTGGGGGGGAGTCGTGGCGTCTGGATCGAGTGGGGGGGTGAATTCCTGGATGCGCATCACGTAGCCATGGTGCCCAGGCCCTTGGTGGAGAGGGCCTGGAGGAAGGAGAGGGAAGGGAGGTGCAGAGACAGTGCTGAGGGGCGGGAGGCGCCAGAGGCCCTGGACTCACCTATGGGGACCAGGGAGGCCACGACAGCCGTTCAGCCAGAGGAAAACGAAGAGACCACACGCTGTCATTCTGCCACGTTGGAGGGAGGCCCTCCACCACGGGGGTCTGTTCTGACCCGCGAAAAGCCCCAGGGCCACAGGGCCCTTGTGGGGGGGTCTGCCAGGGAGCCTGGGCGGCAGGGCTGGGGCAGGGCGGGGGAGGGGACCTGTCAGCCACACTGCCCACCAGTGTGGGGAGGGGCTTCCACGGAAGCTGAGGTGGGCAGTGTGTCCATCAGCCTCAGGGCTCCTGCGACCCATCAGACATCTCCCCTCCCAGCCTGTTTACTGGTGGGGACCCGGCCGAGCACCCAGAGGTCCATGGGCACCAGGTCCGCGGCCCCTGGTCCTGCCTTCCCCACACACACACTGGGTGGCCTTGGACAAGCTGTGGAATATCTTGGAGACGGCTGATACCCCCATGAGGCGGGCAGGTCTCCCCTGGAAAGGAGAGGGTGTCCCCATGGCCCCAGGGACAGGCCTCAGGAGAGCTGGGCCCAGCAGCCAGGGCACTCTGGGAAAACGGAAGCTGCAGTTCCTCTGGCTGGGAGGGGCGGGCGCCTCCTCTGCTCCCCCAGGGCCCCTCAGTCCTCTGCATGTTGGGGCGCTGCTGCGGGCACACAGGAGGTACTCAGAAAACACCCGCCAGCCCTGAGCAGTCTGCTCCCTGCAGGCCACTGGCCAGACCCCATCGCATGCCACCTTCCAGGTCTTGCTGCCCGCAAAGGCCCCTCCACCCCCTGCCAGCACCAGGCGGCCCGGGCTCATCCCAGACCTCCCGCCCCGCTCCCTGGCCCGAGGGGTCCCCAGAGCAGGGCCTTTTCCCGCCCGCGCCCAGAGGCCGGGCTCCATCCCCGCACACGCCTGCCCCTGGGTCTCCCCAGCTCCCCCCCGCCCCTGACTGTGAAGGCAGAGCCATGTGTCCAGCACCCAGCTCGGGCCAGGCCCCTGGAGGCCCCCAGTGAGCCTTTCTGGAATAAATGAGCTTGCCTGAGAATGGCCGGGAGGCCCGAGGCCTTCTCCTCTGAGCTGGGACTGCAACCTCGGTGCCTGGTGGCAGCCCCGCCCCCAGGAGGCCTGAGCCAACCATCAGTGGGCCCTGTACAAGTCCCCACGCACGGGCTCTCCCGCTCTGGAGCCCCGTGCCGCTCCCACCGCCACCTCTGGGCTTTCCCAAGTGTGGCCCCCCTGGGACCTTGCCCAGAACAGGCCTGCTGAGCCCTTCCGGGGCGCCACACAGCCCCCCAAGAGGAGTGCTCTCAACCTGCAGAGGAGGAGAAACTCCAGGCCCCTGGCCGGTGCGAGGCAAGGCTCCCCCTTCGAGACCCCAGGAGCTCTGCTGGGGCAGGGCAGGTCTGTCCCCAAGTGGCATGGAGGCCTCAGGACCCTGGTCGGCTCGCCAAGGGCTCCAACCTGCCCGGGGAGGCCAGGCGGGGCGGCCGGGGGTGGGGGTGGGGGATCAGAGTCTGAGGTTTGCCAAGGCCCCTTCGGCCGGCCTCACCCCGCCCTCCAGCCAGTCACTGCATCAGCAGGAGCAGTAAGCCACCCTGTGTGCACGCTCGTGGGTGCACAAGCGCTGGCGTGGACAAGCGCACGCAGGCTCGCGCCCTCACATGCACGTGCACGGCCTTGCCGTAGACGCCACGGTGGCGACTCAGCGCTGTCGCCCGTCTGAGGCCCCGAAGACCATGCCCCGCAGCCTCCTT